TGTCAGAACATGCCCCTAAAAAGTTTAATGAATGCAGTGCTGAAATCTTTTAAATATTATTTCAAACAGAGAAATGATTCCCTCAGGAAAGAAAAGGGTAATACTACCTGCAGTGTGCAGGCTCTTCTCTCTGTTTCTTCATTTACCATTCTCTTAATTGCTGTCTTTCGTCCTGTGATTTAACAGGTGAATATTTTAATTGTCCCTCTTGAGAAAGGAGCAGTGGGAAGCAGTAAGTCTGTGTTCTTTTGCCATTATACTTTTCTTTTTTTAAGCTGGTCCTACTGTTAATAGCAGATGGCTTAGTTTTAGTAGCCCATGCACAAAACTGAGGGCACGTGTTTAAGTTTTTGCTTCTCATAGCATCCTAAGACATTTTTTCTTGTGCCTCCAGTGCACTTCTTACCATATGTGGTCAGTCAGTAAATAGCATCCTTCTGTAGCTTAAGTGCTGTTTGTTTAAAGCAAACGCTGTTCAGTTCCTGAAAAGTGCTAATTATCACCATTCATTAGGCTGCACAGCATTTCCCTGAAGTAAATCCACTGCTGGACAGTTGATTGCACAGAGTTTTATTTCTATTGATTGGAGGCACGGGGGTTTGGTGGAATCTGTCACCCCGAATTGAGCTGGTACAGGGGGTGCCATTTGTCACAGGGGCATCTATACCATCTTGAGGGAAGCTCCTGGTCTTTGGTTTGCATTTATCTGTGAGTGGCAACCCTGCCCGTGGCACAGGGATTGGAACAAGATGATCTTCAGGGTCCTTTCCAACCCAAACCATTCTGTGATTCTATGAAATACAGTCCACGAGATCACAGGCAGCGGTGCTTAAGGGGAGATTACGGCAGCAATTTACTCCAAAAACTTGCTTAATATTTATTAAATACATGATCAGTGTTAGGAGCTAATTTAGAAGCTTCAAGCTTTAGAGGTGCTCGATGTAATTGTTGCTCAGGTGCCTCTTGGTCTCTGCTGCAGCACAAGGGCACGTGGGCCCTTGTAAAATGTTTGTGGTGTTCCTTGGGATCATGGGGTGGGAGGGAGAAGGAAAGGAGCTGATCTGTGACAGCAAAACTGATAAATGAGACTGTCAGGTGGAGAAATACTTAATGGCTTGAACATTTCTACAATGTGCCGTAGTTCCCTTCAGAACTGACACTCCTGGGTTTTCATTACTGGCCCAAAAGTGTTTAGTCTTGATGAGGATGAAGACAAACCACAGCAAGAAAAATCCTGAGCGGATGGTGGGAGTCACAGGCTGTGAAAACTCCATCCTTGGAGATGTTCTCAGCTCAGCTGGATGTAGGACCCAGCACAGCAGGGCCTAAATTTGGCATTGGACCTGACTCTGAACTTGGCCCTGCTTTGAGCAGGGCATTAGGCCAGGTGACATCAAGAGGTGCCTTCCAATGGAAAGGGTTTAAGAAGGCTACGATAGTTTAGAGAAAAAAGAGAGGGTTTGTACATATAAATATATATATATATATATGTACAGCTCATATCTCATCACATGCCTGTACTCAGGTCACAATCCCTGTGTGAGCCAGAGTCTCCATGGGAGGTTTTAAATTGACAGCTGTAGTGGGTGGATTTGGGGAAGAGGCTTTATATTCCAAATAACAAATAGAACCCGTTTCTGCCTTAAATACAGCACCAGTATGACTTCATAGAGCAACTTCAGACACTAGTCTGGTGTTGAAAAACCCAGCCATCTACACACACACACACACACACACAATTTTTAAGGCAACAGCTGATTTTCCTTCCTTCTCTCCTGCTTTAAGCTGCATTACAACTGCAAGCTTTACAGGATAGAATCGTTCTGGAGGCATTAGAAGCAAAACCAGGCCGTCCATGAGATATGTGGACAAGTAAATGCCAGAGGTAGTTAAGATTAAAAATAAGGCAAACTGAAGAAACACCTTTGTTATACAGGCTTAGAAGAAAGTGGATAAAAGAAAGAAATACTTAAAAAAAGCGATGGGCAGAAGAAAAGAAACTGAGGAGGTGGTATGTGTATCAGCTCTGCCATTCAGGTCAGCACCTAAGTAAATAAATACTGTGTTCCTCATCTCACCCTCTCAGCTGCACCTCCCTGCTTTAATCAATGCTTTTAAAAAGGATTTGACAGAAATCACTGTTGCCCATTCAATCCAGGTGACCATCCAATAACTTAACCAAGAAAGGCTTTGAACTAGAAATGGGTGGTGTGACTGAGATGCTGCCACGTGTGCATTGCACCAGTCCCACTGCCTCACAGTCAAAGACTTAGGGAACAAATATTTCTACTCCTTTCCTAAAAGAATGACCAGTAGATTGTTCTCTTGCTTGGAGCTTCTAAATCTCCCTCTGTATGGACTTTTTCTGCCTGAGGAGCTTTATGTGGTTTCCTTTCAGGGTTGCACGTCATCAGCGCTGCTTTCGTGGACAAAGCTCATGCTCCTACCACATCCCCTCTGTTTTCTGCAGGATCAGATGGTGTGAGTCTTCTGTTTTGGGTGGCAGCTTGCGTTGCCTCTAGGTGATGTAATTTACAAAGAAGGTGTGGAATTGCTCCTTCTCTTGCACTTGAAGCATGCTCAGTCCTTCTGCTGGACGTGCCCAGCTCTGGAGCTTCTGCGCTGGGTACAACTCTGCCTTGTGACAACCATTCAAGAGCTTTTCTCGTCCTCACTGCCTTTTCTTTACGCTCAGATTAAAAAAATCCTGCAGCACGTTCCTTTAAAACTGTTCCAGAGCCTCAAACGTGTCTCTAAACACAAATCTAAACTTTTCCCAGAGAGCTTTTAACGTGCTGCCGCTGGTACAACACTCCGGTACTGCCGCAGCTTGTAAAATTCCATCTGGAATTGCACAGTTTCTTCAGGACTGGCTGATTTCTGCTTTAATTTTCACTTGCCTCCAAATCTACGTAAAACAGTGCAAGTTGGTGCCGTCAGCCTGGTGCAGTTTGCAGTGAGTAGCTGAGGTGCTGAAGCCGCTGGCATCTTGCAGCGTGACTGGCTTTTTGAGAGTGAAGGAAGCCTGCTTGTATTCCCCCAAAGATATCCAGCTTCCCTACTTCTGAGGCACTCGGTCCCTTTAATTACAGTTCCTGCAAAGCAAGTGTTTTACCTGTGTCTAGAACCAACCAGCAGAGGTTGCCATTGATTTTTCCTGTTACCTGCTCAGCAGAGCCTGGATTTCTTGTACCAGACCTGAAATATTTGGCTGCCAGGAGTGCTGCTTGCTGTCAGAGCTGGGCACTCTGGGCACACACAGCAGGCACCAGCTGGGGCTGACCTGGGAACAAGGTGACTCAGTGGTCGCTGTGACATTTGGGAGCTTTTAGTAGTTCCCACTCCTCCAATCTGAATGGAGCAGGATGCACTGAGCATCCTCTGGTCCACTGTAGGTCAGGCTTTACCTTTGCTTAGCTGACGTGCCCTTGTGCCTTTGGAGCTTTCTGATGTCCATTTTAAGGCGTTCTGGCCCTTTATGTCCCTGGTGCCAACGAGCCGACCCAGGGAGGGGGTGGAGAAGTCCTGGTTCCTGCCATGCCTGTGCTCACCGTTGTTTGTTCTCCTCCTCCCCCACAGGAGGAGTGGGAAGAGGAGGAATAAAAATTGCTCCCTATTGTTCTGCCCAATAGCTCGGGCTTAAAGCTGTGCTCAGGGGCTAAATTTAGTCATTAAGTCTGTTGTTTTCAGCCGTTTGCCATGCTGAGGTATCGGAGCGAGTTTAATTTTTATTAAACCCTCCGATGGAAGCACTCTGGAATGATCACACGCCCTTACTGCAAAACCACCCTTGCACTGCTGCAGTTTGTGCTGCCTCGCATTGCTACACACTTGTCACTCAGCCTTGAATATTCGCTCCAGGCGGTACTCGAAATACAAGATGTTAACCCAGGAGCAGCTTATTAAAATTTTGCCCGTGGTTTGCCTGGGAACTAAAAGGATTTAAATCACCGTGGTTTCTAATGACTTCGTTAGTTAAAGCCTCCAGTGCCGGCCGTCCCTGCCACGTCTTTTTGCTGATCGATAGCCCAAAATGCTGTTCTGGGGTTGGTGTTTTGGTGCCTAAACCTGCTGTTTCGGTGTCTTAAGGACGCGCGGGGCGTGGCTGCGTTAAGGTAACTTATTTATTTATTTTTGGAAAGCGCCAAGCAAACGAAAAGTTCCGAGTCCTTTCATTTCCAGCTTTGCAAGAGTGGAGAGCTCGGTTATTTGGGGCTTAAGTCGGGGGAAAACAATGCAGGCGTTTGTATTTAAACCGATGTTGTGAAGCAGTTAAAAAGAGAAGACCTGGCAGGCACTACCGAAACCGCGAGTTTTTACCCATCTGTATGTAATTAAAAAAGGTGGCGCGCGCAACTGAAGAGACGGGAAAGTTACTAACGGGGGGAGATAACTTTTGAGGGACGGGTTTACAAGGATTAGGGTGTAGGGTGTGAGCTGCCGGAGCGGAGCATCCCCCCTGGGATGCCGCGGATTGGTGCGGCGGGGTCCGGACCCGGACCCCGCCGCACCGATCCGCGGCATCCCAGGGGGGATGCTCCGCTCCTTTTCCCCCCCTCCCTGAATTGCTGTTCCCTCCTTCCCGGTGCCAGCGGCGGCGCCATTGGATGTGCCGGGAGCAGGGGAGCGGCAGGCACCGCTCCAGCGCCCGGCGAGCTGCGGCGGGAGGAGGAGGAGGAGGAGGAGGAGGAGGAGGAGGAACAGGAGGAGCCGGGCTCAGGTGCAGGCACCGCTCGCCCTGGGAGGAGGGAGGGAGGGAGGGGGATGATGGAAGAAGAAGCAGCAGCATCGCCAGCCGCACCGCGGTGACAGGACTGCCCCGGCAGAGGGGATGCGCGTAGGTGAGACAGCTTCTCTCTATTGCTTTAGCAGAGAATCGGAGGAAGGAGTGATTTTTTTTTTTTATTTAATTTTTTTTGGGGGGAGGGTTTTGGTACCGTTGCGCTGTAAGACAAAAAGGGGAGCGGATAGCCGGAAATATTCTGGGATGTTATAAAACCTGAGAAGGGGACTTCGCTCTACAGCGCCGGCGATGCGAGGCAGGAAATGAACTCCGAAAAGAACGCTTTCTCTCTCGAAGTGCTGCGACAGAATTGAACGCTGGGCTTTTCTGGGGTCTGAAATCCCTCCCCGAAGACACGGCGGCAAGGACTATGAAAATCACCCGAGAGATGCCGGTACTTTTAAAGAGACTTAAAGCAAATGACAGCGTAATATCTGAATGACCTTGGAGATCGTTTCGTGTGGATTCATTTATTTTCACTGCCAGTCTTCTAGTCTCAGGAACTCTAGGATCAAAGATGGTTTTAACGTTTTAGGGGCCTTTCAAAAAACGAGATTGTATACATTTAATTACCTGCCTAATGATTCCTGAACTAATCAAGCATTTACTTAGAACTGAACACAGAAGATCCTTTCTCTTAACGTTTGCTCTCTCCTGTGACTGTGACTAAAATGAACAAGATAATGTCCTGCAATTAGAAGAGCATTTCTTTTAAAGCAACTATTTATCATGCTGATCATCTAATAAATACAGGAACCCTAAACCCCTGAGAAGATGAAGCTGAATAACAGGGTAATGGAGTAGTAAACAATGGCAGCTTTTCTAGTCAAATCAGCATTTCATTAGCTTCCCAGCAGAATGCAGATGGAAGTTTCTGAGCTCCTTGTGTGGGGGTTTGTGAAATGATTCAGGTGTTGCTACAGAGGTGAGCAATATCATGGCTATACCTATGAACTCCTGGGTACTGATCCACTGTCGCAGATACGGCAGAGTTTCCAAAGATGATTATTTTACATTGCCGTTGCTGAAATTAAATTTCAAGAGGATTTATTTTGTCTCTGGGGACATTGAATTGTGGTTCTGGCATTAATAATTGTGATGGACTATAACTGTTTGAAGGAACTGTGAATATTGACATAAGCCTCCAAATTCTATTCTTAAATTATTTTCATTTTCAAGTGAATAGTCACGATCTTCCTCATTGTATGTGAGATGTATGTTTTCTTTCTTGGGAGTCAGAGGACTAGTCTGCCTCATCCCCCCACCCGTCTCCCTCCAAATAAAATTCATTATTCATACCCAAACAGTGGTGAGTCTATTGGAATTAACCTTGAGAAAAATGCTTTCCTTACCTTCCCAGTGAATAGCACGGCTCAGACGGAGTTCCATCTCCTGAACGGAACCAGGAAAGGCAGCATTAGAGGATGAACTTTTTCCTTTAGTCTCCAGTCAGTCTGGGATTTAAACTGAGACATTATAAAGATTTTCTCCAGTAACTGCTGGTCCGGGAAACCTGAGCTGTACTGAGGTTCCTCCTTCCCTTCCTCCCCCTCTCCCCAGTATATTCCAAAGTAAAGGACTTTCTCAGGAAAATAAGCAGTCAGAGATTCCCCGGGAAATGAATGTGTCTCTTTTGTCAGTTTTTATTTCTGTATTTCTGGGTACCTGCTTGTTTTAAAGAAGTGCCTTGTGTTTGCTAAAGATGGGTCAAGAGCACTGGAGGAGCTGATCAGTGGCCTTTCTCTTTCTGGCTTTTGTTTTTCTTTTCTTTTCTTTCTTTCTTTCCTTAAAGCCAAGGTGTGCCAGAGGTGATGCACTGATGCTGAGGAGGCATCAACAGCTATGGGACTGTAACCCCGTCCCCTGTAAGCACTGGCAGTGTCTGCAAAGAGAGATCTGGAGGCGCTGGAGCAGAGTTTAGCTGCTGTTCAGCAGGTCACCTGCTCGCTCAGGCTCAGATTGCAGTGTTCCCTAAGCACAAAGCATGAACCAGTCCCGATGGATTGAATGGAGGACTCTGAATATGAGCAGTAGTGTTATGAACATATCTGAGCACCTCTCCTGCCCTCTTGGATTCGGTCACTACAATGCAGTTGACGTCTGTATCCTTGAGACAGTCGTTATTGTCCTGCTCACGTTTTTAATCATTGCGGGTAACTTAACCGTGATATTTGTTTTCCACTGTGCTCCACTCCTGCATCATTACACCACCAGCTATTTTATTCAGACCATGGCCTATGCCGATCTCTTTGTTGGAGTCAGCTGCTTGGTTCCTACTCTGTCGCTGCTCCACTACCCGACAGGTGTCCACGAGTCCCTGACCTGTCAAGTTTTCGGATATATCATCTCTGTGCTCAAAAGCGTGTCCATGGCATGTCTCGCTTGCATCAGTGTGGATCGCTATCTCGCTATAACCAAGCCTCTCTCCTATAACCAGCTGGTCACCCCTTGTCGCTTGAGAATCTGCATCAGTTTGATCTGGATATACTCTTGCCTGATCTTCTTGCCTTCCTTTTTCGGTTGGGGGAAACCTGGTTACCACGGAGATATTTTTGAATGGTGTGCTACCTCCTGGCTAACTAACGCCTATTTCACTGGCTTTATCGTGTGCTTACTCTACGCTCCCGCTGCCTTCGTCATCTGCTTCACCTACTTCCACATCTTCAAGATCTGCCGGCAGCACACCAAAGAGATAAACGACCGCAGAGCTCGCTTCCCCAGCCACGAGGTGGACGCTGCCGGGGACGCGGGGCACGGCCCCGACCGCCGCTACGCCATGGTTTTGTTTCGGATAACCAGCGTGTTCTACGTGCTGTGGCTGCCCTATATCATTTACTTCCTGCTGGAGAGCTCCAGGGTGCTGGACAACCCCGCGCTCTCCTTCCTAACCACGTGGCTTGCTATAAGCAATAGTTTCTGCAACTGTGTCATCTACAGCCTCTCCAACAGCGTGTTCAGGCTGGGGCTGCGGAGGCTGTCGGAGACGATATGCTCCTCCTGCACGTGTTTGAAAGACAGGGACGTGCGGGACCCCAAGCCGAGGAAACGGGCCAACTCCTGCTCCATTTAGGGACGAGTGGCGCGCGCGACCGAGCGGCGATAGCGGCTGCGAAACTGGCCAGAGAGGAATGGTTACTCGAACGGCTCGCCCCGGTGTGAGAGGGAGTTCGAAAGGGATCGCGGAAAAGGAAAAGGCTGCTGTGAGAGGGGTCACTGAACTCTGGGGGAATTGTGAGGAGAGCAGTTCCTCAGAGACCACCAAGAAAGTCAGGACTAAAAATCTTCCAAAGGGCATGAAGTAACTACCAGTAACTATCAGAGGAGGTTCCTCCTAAAATAAATAACTTAGTTACTACCTTATGTTTTCCCCCTTGTAGACGAGCTGTCCTACTATCTTTGTGTCAGAATATACTGTAGCCTTCAGAATCTCAATATACTTAAGAGGAAGCAATCAACACCACAGTAAGCAGCTATCCATAAATTATATACCTGAGGACTGTAGTAGATACTGCAGGTTAATAATCAGCTCTATCTCTGCTCACATCCTGTACAATTTTCAGTTGTGAGATGCATAAACCCTGCCCTGGGCATGACGCTTCGGGATAAACCGGCACGTTTGGGTACCACTGTCACAGCTTTCCCTCTCATTTCCCCTCTTTTTTTCCATGCTGTGCATCCCTAGATTCCATCACGTCTGGTGGGGGGGGGGGGGGGAGGTTTAGTTTGAGGGCACCTGCGAGGTAGTCTGAGTTTCAGACCATTCATTATTGCTGCAGAAAGCACAAGCCCTTGGTGGCTGGCTGAGTGACTGCAGCTGCCTGTGCCCGAGGACTCCTTCGGCCGATCCCGGTACATCAGCACACGGGATCCACGGAGTGTCCTTTAGGGCGTGCTAAAGCTTTTCCTTGTTGGCTCCACAGACACTCCTAAGGCAGGGATGATAATGGCACACAGCAGCGTGTCAGCACTGCTGGGAGGATTCAAACTAACCAGCCCTTCTCTTTGGGCAGTCTAAATTGCTCACTGCCGTAGCTGTCAGCCCATCCTGCGGGCCTCGCTTGCACATTCTGTACTTTTTTAGTTTTTTTTTTTTTAAAGAGAAAACATAAATTGTGGTCCGTGCCTAATGTTTTCCTAGCACATGGGATAGGTCAATGCTACAGGATTAAAAGAACTTACACTTGCTTTAAGAGAAACACTTCTGTGCCGTTGTTGAATAGCTGTTTGTTAGACGAGTGTTCTCGGAGGAGGTGAACAAGACGGTTTAGTGTTGATTACAGGCCAAGAGCTTCAGTATTTCCTTTTGTACTGAACTGCCTTTCAGGTCCACTGATGAAATCTTTCTGGTTTTGCGAGGGCGCACATTAGGTTTGTGTAATAAATTGCTAGGGGTTCAGATGCATGCCAGTCGATACGGTATTTTAAATTATAATTTTGAGCCAAATGTCATTTTCTTAGATGGTTATTGGCTTTTAAAAAGGGCCCAATTATTGATTATTGGTGCCTTTCAACACTGCACTATTATTCCTTCTTTCACCAAACTGCATATGTGAAGATTGTGCCTATTACTTTTTGTAATGGAAGCTGACCACGTGTGCACACTTGTGGTTTGACTCTAGAGCTCCCTTAATTCTGTACTCTTTGTTCTGTTGAGGTGGTTCTGAACCCCTGTAAGGTTTTGGTTTTGTTTTTTGGGTTTTTTTTTATTATTATTTTTAAACCTGTAAGAAAGTTGAAACAGTGGAATAAAGTAGTATTATGTCTATCAAACCCAGCCTTGGCGTTAGTTCCCTGATGTCAGCCTCTGTTCTCTGTGAAAATCCTTTTGGGGGAAGGATTTCAAATCCAGACCTCAGAGCTGTTCCCCTGCTGTCTAAAACATTCAGATACCAGTTTCTGGCATTGCAGGTTCAAACATGACTTCAGACATTCCTCAAGCTGAGCCGAGCTGCTGCTGGACTGGCAGCTCTCATAGATATTAGGGGAAAATAAGTCATATCCTCCACGTGGGTCTGGTAACGCTCCCTGTCTGCAGGAACGTGTCTGCTGCCTTCTTGGGACAAGTTGCTGTTTACTTCAGAAGGCTCTTTTTGGCTGAGTGCTGCTCTGTCAGGTCGTGTAACCCCACTGTCCTTGCAAACACAGCTTGGGCTCACTTCGCTTTGCCCTTCTTGTGTCTAGCCTGGGAGGCCCTGGGTGTGCAAGGGAGCAGTGAATGAAACATCTCCTTCCTCCCCGCTCCCTGGCTTAGCACCACTGAACTCGTTATCTGAAATTCAGGAAAGGGTCTAGAAAGTGCCTGAAGTTGAACTAACACTGTCTGAAGCCAGGCTGGAGGCAGCGGGCGCGTTGTGAGCTCGGCACTGGAACTGCAGATGTGCAGGAGCACCTGAGGTGACTCACCTGTGCTCCTGCCTTAGTTGAACCCCGCCGGTGTGACCTCGGCAGTGCACTTGATTTTCAAGCTTTATTGCCTGGAAATGGGAGGTCAGAGAGAGGGTTTGGCCTCAGGGGCTGCAGCACGAGGTTTACTCACCCTGCAGGGCAGGTTTACTCACCCTGCAGGGCAGAGGTAGCAAGACGTTCCTCCCTACCATGTGGAGCTGTCAGGTGGAACTGGAGGTTTCCTTTTCCCTCAGGCTGCTCTCAGAGGAGGAGAGTGGACCAGAAATCCAATACCCTGCAAACAACTTGTAGGTTCCAAGGTTCTTCACCCCCTTTTTTCGTCTTTTTTTGGTTGAATATTGTTGCTGCAAGAACGTTAATTCACTTACCCGGACGCTGAATCTCAGCTGCTGTAAAATCACATTTCAAACTGTTCTCTCTATAAATCTCCTGGCATCTGTCAAATTAGACATCCTCAGCAGACTTAAATATTGCTTTTCTTCTTGCTGTTTCCCAGGTGACAGGATTTGACCCGGTGCTCGGTCACGTGAATCTGTTAAATTTAGTAAGTGTGTTTCATTTTTTGGAAGTGTTTTCTAAACTCATGATTTAAAATCTTTACTTGAGGGAGGTTTGTTATTGTTTTACTAATGCTGTCTGAGGGTTCCAGCTGGTGCTGAATTCTCTTCCAAAATTGCAAGGCTGGGCGTTGAAGTGGATTAAAAGAGTCACAGAAATTCCAGTCACCCGATCCATCACTTTTGATTTTTTTCACTCTGTCATTATATAAAGTCTCATGTTCTTATATGCAAATCTGATTAAAGAATGAGGCTTTTAAAGCTGGGCATCTGGAGTACACATCCCACTCTCATGTGAAATACCTGGTAAATAGGTGAGCAGACACTAAAGAAGGTGGGAGGAAAAAAAACGTTGATAACAGAGGTGATAAAAAGTAGCCAGGGGAAGAAAACATAGGCAAAATATTAAATGAAAAACTCAATATATATGGAAAAAACTCCTTTTTGCAGGTAGATTATATCGTGCTCTTGCATTTCTCTTGAGTGCTGCTGTTTGCAGTGCCCCAGAGGCAACATCAAGCTCGGTTGCCTCACTCACCATTTTTTGGAACCTCGTGTCTTCAGCCTAAGGAAAAGTCCTAAAAATCATGGGATGGCAGCAAAAGCACTGCCACAAAAGGAATCTTTCCTTTGCCAAATTAAAGTGCTTCCTTATTTTCCGGGGTGGCTAAGAGAGTTTCTCCTTAAAATACTCTTTTTTAAAGGGAAGAGGAATTGTAGTGATGGAAAGCACGTTGATGTCTTCTAAAAGTTTACTTCTTGTCCTAAAGTTGGATCTTTCCTCCCTCCTGTTTTTGCTTAAGAATCCATTTTGTAGCTGTACTTGGTCAAGCACGAGGTATTGTGGAAGGGTTACTTCTGTGCTTCCTCACCTGAAAAGCTGGGAAAAGTTGCTTTACTGAGCTGCCTTTCACAGGTACAGTTTAGGAAGACCTCTCAGAAGTGCTGGTTTTGTGATTAATTTACATTCATTCGTGTTTGGCAGTGGAATATCCATAAGCACGCTTAGGTTTTGCAGTCAGCAAGAGTAGTAAAATGTCCTTTTTTGGGCCAAAGTTTGAATTGACACCTAATGAGGAGTTGTGCCATTACCTCTGCCTCTTTATTTTTTAATGGATGGAGTGGTGCATTGTTCTGCTGAGGAACTGAATCATATTTATTTTGTTGGGGTTTCTTGATGGAAATGCTTCAGGTCTGTCATGCGAGTGGCCAAACCAAACAGGACTTTGTTAACTCGATGCCGATGAATTTTTAGGCCTTTCCCGAAATGGCAACATCACCGAGGCAGTGTTTTCCTGTCACCTGCAGCATTGCTTAAAGATTTTTGCTAAATCAAAGGGAGTTCAAGGAATGCCAGATTCCCCCCCCCCTCTATTTTACACAGACATGTTTAAATTGTTTTTAAGTATGTACTGAATTTATATACACAGGTCTCTGCTGTCAGTGTTAGAAAAAGGGACAGACACCAAGGTTTTGAGAAGGGGAAGCTCAGCTGTGTCAGTGTGAATTATGTGAGGGCACTTCTGCATCTTGAAAGAATTGCTCTTCGTTTCTTATTTTTCTTTAAGTGAAATTAAATGTCTTTTTTCCCCTTCTTCTTTAAGTTATTTGAATAAGCACAAATTCTTCTCATCAATGGAAGAAGCCCATTTGTCCCTTCCAACTCAGCATATTCTGCGATCCTGTGACTTAGTGGGGTATTTCAATGAAGGATGGGGTGGTGGTTTGGGCAAGTTTAACAGAGGGTGTGTTACTTGGGAAACATGTACTTGGATTTTCATACAGTTTGGGCAAGGAAGTCTTCAAACACCTGTACAGGTGAGAGTTTCCAGTCCTTGTACGATCTCTCCAGTGTTATTTTATGCCTGTGCAGGTACTATTGACAAGTTCTTGGGTGACATCTAAATTTAGAACAAATCCGTGAGCAGGCAAGTTCGTTCTGCCCCGGGAGAGGCACCGGCAGAACCTGCTCTTCCCCTGGCTGTTTGGGGTTCACTGGTGGCTCAGCACAACCCCATTTTTGGGGACCAGGATGAGGGGTGTGCCTGCCCTGTGCTTCAACTCTTTGTGGTGGAGTTAATCCCTCACAGAGGGGCGAGAGACACCTGAGGGCAG